CAATTAGGTCAAATGAGTCTAAAAGTTCATATAATCATAAATATAAATATAAGTCACTGTGATCGAGCAATATATAAAGCTTCGAACAAATCCGCAAATTGTGGGTCATCATCTTCAGCACCAACCTGCTGAAGATAACGATGAATCAACGAAGACACACGAGCCCAGCTAGGATCAGATGGTCCTGCTTCATATACAGGAACTGGCATCTCTGCTGGCGCATCATGATAGGGTGGCGGTACCTGACGAGGATGAGAGACACGATAATACCACCCATGATATCCATCATCTGTCTCATATGGGGTGGTGGCCGGTGTTGTCGGACGAATCACATTCTAAATGCTCTGATGGTAACTAATCCAGTCAACATCAATATCACCAGCCATCATATGATCAAGAGGTGGATGTGGAACATACTGCCTGTATCCAAACTGACGCATACATGTGTCAGGCAAGTATGGAACAATAGTGTCACCCCACCTCAGACACCCCCTATATAGACATAGCTCATCGAACTGACGCCATACTCTATGATTCTCGAATGGACGCCATATGACATCAGCAGGTGTCAGCTCGTCCAGAATAGGTCGCAACTCATCCACCTTCAAGGCACCTTTCCTATATGACCATCTCATCGCTCGAGGGAGATCCACATTATTAGCTGGTATCCAGTTCTCTCCTTTTTTTTCCAAGTGTTGAAAAATACTCATGAATCCAGCACTGTTACAAAATTAATATGGTTATTAAATTTAAAATAATTAATTATATCATAATAAACTAGATAAATAAAATTAATATACTAGATAAAATTTATTAAAACAAAATATACTAAATTAAAATAAATACCTGTAGGAGAGTCGGATAACCACCAAGCTGCTTACAGCTGAACATGGAAGCATCTCCGAGATATCTACAAAGAGTAACCAACGCAGCTGCTCCCCAACAGTGAGAGGTATCGTGCCTCAACAAGCGTAAACGTTTTGTCCGCGAAAATAGTGAAACCCACTAACATCAGCAAATAAGCTCTAGTGGCATAATGCCATCTAGATGCAGCTCTATGCTCTACGAACTGATCATATAACCACTCCAACTTATAGTAGGAACCCCTGCATTCACGGACTTGTTGATGTGCTATTCTTTGTGACACTCCTAAATAATCAACAGCCCACTCAACAGCAAGCGCTTCACTGATATCTTGAGGGCTCCAGAAGACTCCCCTGATGGGCAAGTGAAGCAGGCAAGATACGTCATCTAGAGTAATCGTCATCTCACCAAACGGCATGTGAAATGAAGATGTCTCTAGATGCCACCTCTCTGCAAAAGCGGAAACTAGGTTTGTGTCTATCTTTGTTAAACTGGTTCTCTGGAGTGAAGCTAGACCAGACCTAGATATCTAGCTCTCCATCTCTCTGGGTAGCTGTAGTGGAACCCTCTGAGTCAAATTCAACCAATGTTCGCCACCTTTAACTCTTTCTTCGACCCTCTCTTCTGAAAAAATTAAAAGTAAAAATATTATAAAATTCAATATTAAAAATTCGAATTCTATTCAATATTAAATAATTTTCGTTTACTTACCTCACCGAACCATATACGGTATGCAACATGTTGTTCGTACTTAACTAACAGAGATGTATCATACGGTCCTCCTAGATATCCAACCGGCTTGGATGTTGATGCAGATGCATCAAAATGCTCTTCTTCAGTCATTCTCGATGACTCGCCCCGTCCTAGTCTACGAGGGATCCTACCATCTCTGCCTCGTGTGCGCACCACTGGAAAAAAAATCAATATAATTAAAAATTAAAAAATGAATAAATAAATAAATAAATATAATTAAAAATTAAAAATTAAAAAAACAATGAACCGGAAGTCTTCAAAAAAGAGTTCCGGAGAAGAAACACAAAATTTTGTGAACCGAAAGTCTTCAAGAAAGAGTTCCGGGAAATAAACTCAAAATTTTGTGAATCAGAAGTCTTCAGGAAAGAGTTCTGGTGAAGAAACAAAAACAAAATACAAACCGGAAGTCCTACTCTTAGAGTTCTGGTATGTATTGAAAAACAAATGTGTTCCGGAAAATTTGGTAGAAGAGTTCCAGTTTGTAAATGGATGAAGAGCTCTCCGGAAGTCTTGAAATGAAAATAAGTGGAAATGAAGTGAAACTGAAATTTTTTTAAAATTATAGATATTTAAATAAGGGTATTTTGGTCCAATATTTTTGAATGTTGGGATGTGGGTATAAGAATAGGGATATGGGATAAAATCTTTCTCTCTAAATCACCCCGTATTTCTTATATGAGTCCAAGTAATAAAGAGCAAAGATTTAGAAAAATTTAATAAGAAAGATTATAATGAATAATTTTCTTAAAGGGATTTGTTAATATATGATATTCGTACTTAAAAGTTTATGTACTAACCTCCAAGAATCTAACTCAAATTTAGTGCCTATGTTAATTCTATGATATTTGATGTAGGAATGTTTGAGGATCATGAATAGGATAAGTGTTCCTAATTAGTGGATGTTTAAGACAAGGGAAGGAAGATGTATCCAAGTATATTTCATTTTATTTGTGATGCAATATAAAATTTTGTTGTCTACTAACATTTTGTGTGCATTAAGTTTCATAATAGATCATCTTTATTGGTATGATGGTTCAAATTCTATAATCGTCTTATTGTTTTATTTTGTTTATCTTAGTTTTGAGTTTGTTGATATGTTACTCATTTGTGATCAATTATGTTGAATGTGTATATCATATTACATCATAATCATTCATTGTCATCAAACTTATTTTTCATCTCCATTAAAGTTTTATTTTATATACATTAAAATGAACTTTCCTCATTAGTTTTTTTTTGTTGTGCATTAATTCTTTTTTTATTAAAATTTTAATTTTTTCTTAGGTTTAAATTGTTTTTATGTCTCCATAAATTGTCGTGTTTTTATTTTTAGTTTCTAAAGTTTTTTTTTGAAAATTATTTCTAAATGTTAAATCTTTTTTGTTTTAGTCTTTAAAATTAAAATCTGCAAAAAAATCAGTAGACTTCTTATGCATTTTTCTTCGAACTTTTTCAAAAATTTAAAATCTAAGTTACCTATAGAATTTCCTTCGAAATTTCCTGTGAATTTTCACTTTAAAAAAAAACCATTATAATTTTAATATTCAAAGACTATTTTTAAAGAAAAAATAAGAATTAAAAATAAAAACACGTAAACTTTCTTAAACGAAAAGACTATTTAAACTTTTTTTAAATTTTATTTTGCATGATTCAAGTCAATTGAAGCCTTGAATCACAATTTTCTTTAACTGAGTCAAACCTCAATTTTTTTAAAAAAAAATTAATTCAATATATATGATTCAAGTCACATATCCCCTTGTCTCGAATCAAGGTGATAGTTGGAATTTTAAAAATACATTTAATTCAATGATATGAATCAAACATTCATCTATTTGATTCAAATCATACTCTTTTACTCGAATCAAGTACTTATAAAAATCTCATTTGGTCATTGTTTTTTATCCTTTCATATCAACCATTTATTTAGTTAGTATATATAATTTATTCACTGAACCCCAACTTCAAAGTTCATCTTCTCCAACTACAAACTTCATCTATGCAAATTGTTCTTTAGTCTTCAAGTGGTTTTGTGATTTTCGTTGTGTTGTGAAAGACTCTGCAAACTCTCTGTTCATCTCTTCTGCAACAATGTCTTCAAGACCTTCATCTGCCTCAGTTCCAAAAGCTACGGAAAAGAGATACGAAAGTATAAAATGAAGTCGGGTGAATCTTCTCCAAATCCTCCTCCATCTGATGTTCATCCATCTTTTCCAACTTCTCCAAACCTTTGAATTGTTCTTCCTAAAGTGACTCATCTGATTGGTCCTCGAGATTATCAAAGATTCATGGATAAATTTTATGCATAAGAGATCTCTCCTGACTACTACACTACTAAGCCAGTTGTTGATTCTGTTAGCATGGATTTTCTTGAAGTGTTTTAAAAACACAAGTTGGACAAGTTCTTAGCATTACATGTCATAGTTTAAATAGAAAAATGGAAATCAAAAATGATTACTTAGGAACATTTCCTTATATAAAAACAACTGCAGCTAAATTTCCTTATATAAAAACATTTCCTTACATATGAAGTATTCACATCAATAAGATGGCCCTTCAACCCTCAAATGTGGTAATTCAACTACAAGGACAATAATAATTCTCTCAATTCCTAACAACTTTTGTGCGTATAGATTATTACAAAATCAGGTCAAATGTATGGTCAATATTAACTTCCAAAATATGAATAAAAAAGCAGAAAGAAAAGTTCCAAGGAAATGATTGATACCCAGAATCTGCTTCATACATATAATTTCCAAAGTAACAAACGCAGGCAACTATGGATTATCTGATGAAACACATGCAATAATCAGTTGGCCACACTCATATCAGTCATCAAAATTTCTGCCGTAAACCTCTTAGAATAATGCGGGTGATACTTTGATGAAGCCACTGCTGCAAACCACTTACTCCACATCACATTGCGGCATGTATCTGCAAAATGCAAAATCCAAAAGAAAACCCATGGAAGAGGGAGAAGGAAGGAGATCAATAGAGAGTAGTGAATTCGGTGTCATTTCGGCAAATGAAAAAGCTGATTTTATTATAAAAATTAAATGTATGTACACGAGGTCTTGTTCTCTGATTTCTAAGAGCTACAACCAGAATAATGTTTTCTAACATATAATCACTGGGAATACTAACTTCTACCTTGAACAAAAAGATCTTTACATTGGAAGTCACCAACTTGAACACAAGCAAAATCCATAACAGCTGACAACGCCACTCAAAAACAACTTGGAGAGAATAATTTACCAAAGAATCTATAGAACCTACTTGTAGACAGAATTAGCCATAAAACCATCCTATGTAACTGGTTATTTTTCAGGGTACTTTGTTTCCTTTGTTATTGGTATACTAATGAACTCTATACAAAGAAAGCAGCTTCAAACCATCATATTCAAGTCCGAAAGGTCATCCATAGGAATTTCAAGGCCCATAAAGTCATCATGATCTTGTAATCCATCGTCGTCAATATTCAACCATGAACCAAGATCTTGACCCTGGTCAGCAAGGTCACCGGGATCACCAAGCACGTCCATTCCAGGCAGCTGCAGGTTGGACAAATCAATTGGCTCATCCAATCCACCCAAGCCAAACTCATCCTTTTCCTTGGCATTTCTATTACTAGGCTTTTCGATAGACTTTGAAACAGGAGGCAATGCTGGTTTTGGTTTCTCTGACAACTTACCAAGGAGGCCATTTACAGAAACAGAATGCTGTGTTGCTTTCTGTTTAGGCTTTGTTTTGGTTTTCCTTTCTCCTTTAGCACTGGATGATGCCTGCCTACCAACTTTCGTAGTTCCATTTCTTGATAGTACCTCTCTGCCATTCCCCTTTCCATCTCTGTCCCTCTCACTCCTCTTTCCTTTAGCACTGCTTGTTAGAGAACTTCCAATGCCCCCAACATCATCAAGGAACAATTCTCTCTTCTTTACCCTGTTTGACCAGAAATCTTCCTTGCCACTGGTTTGTTCAGATGAATTATTTAAAGCAGGAAGCATATCTGATGAAATGAAATCCAGATTATCCATATTCTGATAAAATTGTGATGGGCTCTGCTGTGAACCCATGGAAGCTGCAGAAGAAGAAAAAAAAAAACATATCAAAATCTAGCTTATGCTGAAAGGAGCAAAAGGAAAAATAAGACATCATAGACCAGACAAAGATGGCATGTACAAATATAGTTATCTAAGTATGTAAGTGAGCATGATGACACAGCAGATACATAGAATAAACACAATAAAATTATTTATGCCAGAAAGTAAAGAAGAACCTGATGTTGCCTCCAGAGACAGGAAAGGTTTTGAGGAATCAGCCTCCAATCCATCTGATTGCCGAACAATACTATGCTGGGAAGCAGCAGTAAGAAACATATCCTTGAATAAAGGCTCGCTGAAACAGCTCTTGCCTGTATCTTCAAATTGGTGGTATCGCTCCAATGTCCATTTAACAAATGCCAATGCAGCTTGCTTGACCATTTTGTTGTTGCTTGAATTTTTCCCACCCGAGGCACTAGAACCTCGACAAGCCTGACAATCAATTATTTGTTAAGCCACTCTGCAATATGACGTACTTATGCAACAGTAAGATTCCTAGCTTGTGACCTGGTACTTTAGAGTTTTAGACTTAAGTAACAGAATGGGGAATAACGCATACATCTCCCACTCAACAGCATAATAGTGGGGCTTCGACATCACACATGGGCCGCCGTTTGGTCAACTCTAATATAGAATAAAATGTTGGACGCTTTTTTCTAAGGCCAATTTTAACCATTTTAAGCAAATAATAGGGTAAAGTGTGGATTTTGGTTATACAACTTATGCTTGGGAGTACAAATTTATAGAGCAAATAAGAGTTCTGAGATTTAACATTTCCAGACATAAATGGTAGTATTTCATACTTCATAGTGCGGTAGAAAGAGAACTATGAAGATCACTAACTGTTATATGTTTACAATACCTTCCAGCTCCAGTAGTTGTATTATGTTGAATACACTGCACAACATATGGTCCTCAACACTTTGATAAGTCTCTTCTTCTACCCCCATCCAAAAAAAAAAAAAAACCTGAACAATGAGAGAATCCAAACCAGGCTCTCACTCTGAATCAATTTTACCCATTATTAAAGATCCCCAGCCTTATCAATAACTATTGTACTATATAGCTCTAGCTAGACCCTCGGCCCAGAAGTTCGAGGTACAACTAAATTAGCATGCAAAAATCTTGTTCTAAAGCTGACAATCAGATTATATAAACAAACAGTAATATTGAATGTCAAGAAGATTACCGTGTATTTCTCATAAGCTGTAACAACAAGTTGATCAAGAGCACGTTGGTCAAAATCCCTGTCAAACAAGTTTATATTTAGAACAATGAAGACACAGAAAGTTAAATTAGCACATAACAGGTACAAATGGCAGCAGCATTACTTTTCTTGAAGTTCTTTTGCGGTTGACGCAGATTTCAACAATCCATCTAGCAAGTTTCTCTTACTGGAAACCTATGATACACAAGAAAATAAAAAACCATAAACTAAATCATATCAGATAAAAGATCAACTTCATTAAATATTGCAGGAATTCTATAAATCAAATATCTCTAGCTCTGCAGGCGATGTATGCAATTATATTGTGTGAAATATTATAAAACAAAATAATACTCCTTCGTCCCAAATTATAAGACGTTTTGGACATTTCACACAAATTAAGAGACGTAATTAATTTTGTATGGGAAATAAAAATTAAGAATGACTTTATAATATTGTCCTTCATTTATTACACATGAAAGAGAAATTTACAGAATTGAAAGAAGAAATAGTAATAAATGATAGAGGGTATATTGGGAAAAATATCATTAATGTTGCATTGGAAGTGTAAAATGACTTATAATTTGGGACATTCTTTTTGCAAAGTGATTTATAATTTGGGACAAAGCGACTAGTTACACGGGGGGAAATATTTGACAGTAAGAATACTATAACTTGACTTCAGCATTAGTCCGTACCTGTCCTTGGTACAGCTCTTCTAACCTAGTAATATCCTCCAATATGGCTTCATCATCTTCTTGCACCATTTCGGGCTTTCAAATAAAAGTAATAATCATATTAACATGCTAAATACTAAACAAATATCATAACATTTGTAAGTAATCTATTATAGTTATATTGAAGAGATTTCTGACAAAAATACAAAACAACCTAAAACATAGTTGCCACTGGATTAGGAAAGTAACTGCTTACCACTGGTTCTAGATCAAGTCCAATACTTTGAAGCTCCAATAGAAGCTTATCATTTATGTCCAAGCTATTGTATTGCAACTCTGAACAAGCCAAGCCAGACATTAATGTTTTATCATGAAGAAAACCATTTACAGAGTTGCCAAAGCTTGGATTCAACCCAAAATTAGGAATATCAATCATATCACTTTCAGTTTCATCATGTGCTGGCCTCCCAGTAATCCCATAACCATTATAAGCAGAATGACAAGCAAACTGAATTTTGGTTAATGAGCGTTGATTCAATCCATTCAATTCTAATTCTCCATCAGGCTCGGATTCAGTATCAAATGTGTCAAATTTGAAATCTTCATTTCCGCCACTTCGATCTTCCTCTGATATTAAAGCAGCTATAAGACGTTGACAGAGAGGTACCATTTTATGATCTCCCTTTGGTGGTGGTAATTTTTCTGTATTAGTACCAGCACTGCCTTGAACATCAGATCTGACATCTCTTTCCCAGCCAATCAACCCATATCCATTAACAATGGTTTCACCGCCATCTATATATTTAGGAACTGGAGTTGCCATCTGAGTGCTTGATTCAAGATTTACCTAAAAGGGCAAGTGAACCATTAAAGAAGTTTGGTTGCTATTCTTGATTTTGTCTCAGATATTCCATTTTTTTCAAACATTTAATTCTGCCTTCTCGTTTCTTTTCTTTTTTTTAACAATACAATTCTGCCTTGATCATTAATAAACATTAGTAGTGAGTAATTATAAGAATGTTGTCAACATTGTAGCTCTAAAATAATCAATCACAAGTATTATTATTATTATTATTAATATTATTATTACTATTATTATTATTATTTTTTTATTATTATCATTATTATTATTATTATTATTATTATTATTATTATTATTATTATTATTATTATTATTATTATTATTATTATTATTATTATTATTATTATTATTATTATAAAGGAAATTTACTAGTAGAACTATTACAGCCAACAACTTCCATCGTATATAGAAGGAAAATTTAAAACACAGCAACTACTTTACCCGATATAAGCTAATTATCTTAAGCTTTTTATGATTTGGCCTGCCTTAGGTTTATTGGCATAAAAAGACATCATATAGCACAACATTATGCCCTCTAGTCAGTCAATATAGTTACCAAATGACCTAGAGAACTGATCTGTGTCAATGTCATATCCTACTAGAACAGTCAATATCTGCTGCATTATTCTGTAAAACATCAAATATATGTCTAAAACAAAAGGCACCATTGCACTTATCTTCTAATTTACACTCGACAGCTCTCAGTAGTCAGTAGTAATACTAATAGTGTGTTAGTAAACCCAGAGTAACTAAGGTGTATGTTAGGAGAACCAAGAGTAAACGAAGAATAGAATCCGAGTCAGTTACGTGATTAGGGCATCTAACAGATGTACTTGGGGACAAGAGGGAAAATAACAATAAAAAAAGTTGAGAGGAGGACTGCAGGGTACAGAAGATTTTAAGAAAGTAGGGAGTGGGACCAGGGTTCTACAATTCTAGAATTAAGAGATTTTTACTGTAATCCTCAAAACCGTCTCCAGACTTCAGATTCAGAGCCTTGAACGACAGAGGATTAGAATAAATTTCCAGTTTTTCAACCGATTCATCACTTTATTAATCCAATTTCTATTGCAGTGCAGTCCCAGAAACATTTCATTGCATCCAGTAGAACTGATAAAAGATCTAATAGGACAAAATCAAAACCTACGCATAACCGCATACAATATAACACGTACAATGTTTTCCTCGTCAATAAAAACTTACACATGATAGTTTTATCTATTACTTTATGTGGAATGAACTATTAAGATATTATGGACACCATCACAAAAATCTAACGCATCGCCGCAATGCACTATTTTCCATCATATGGAAGTGCCTGCTAAGTGTCAATAGTTAGCATGACTACTGATCTGTTACAAACTTTTAAAAAACAGTGACAACTGCCATTGAACGATCAAATATTAGTACCTTCTGCTTCCAGTAAGTAATATCTTCATCAGGTATCAAACCGAAGAAAGGCTCCATTTGTTTCCAAAATGGGCTGGAGAAGGTATAGGCTGCAATAATAAGAATATGTTAAATTACTCCATCATGGGAAACTATTTAGGAACCAATGATATATAGTATTTAGTAAAATATACCAGAGTTGATAACTCCCTTTACAGCAGCCAATAGCTCTCCATGTCCATCTTCTGACCCAACTATACCAACATAACAAAAAAGTAATAACATATTTACACTTTGCATACAAAATTGTGTTCATTTAATTTTTCTAAGGTTTTAACTAGTACCAAAATAATCTGCTGCTGCACAGATGGCAGTAGGCTTTTGACGAGCATAGGCTTTGCGATCAGAAAGTTTCCTTGTTGGGGGACGACCCACTTTGCTGCAAGGATTCCATAAAACTTTGAGACTTCAATTTATGTGTTCAAAAAACTTAAACAAGAAATAGATCCTAACCTTTCATTCTTATCAGATCCTAGTCTTGCACTTCTTAGTTGTTTTGCAGTATTTCCAAGCTTCTCAAATGCCATTGGTTTCTGTGACCTTGTGGCATTGAGACCGCGCCCCGTCCTGCCTTGCCTCCGAACACCATCTCCAAGTTCTTCCCCCGAAACAAGCTTACTCTTTCTAGTTACCAAGTTAGACACCTTTGGAACATTTTGTCCAGCTTTCATATCTCTCTCTTCTGGTTTCCTACCCTTTTCTTTTGGTTTAACCTCAGCCACCCCGGACTCTTCACTTTCAGATAAAGCTGCCGAAGGTGAAGGTTCACCTTTTTGTTTAATTTGCTGAGGAGAACTTCCAGCTGAGCGTCTCACAAATCCTAAACCAATATCATTACCAGACACATCAGAGACAGCATCCACAGCAGGAGCTTCATCATTACTCGAAGCAATAGGCACAAAACTTGCTCTCCTGGCAGTACGAGAGCTCTTTTGCGGCCTCTGCCAGGGGACAACAGGTGGGGAAGATGACCGTGCCGAAGTCACACGTTTGCGATTATTAGTACTATTAACACCAGCTGGGGGCTTTGTGGCACAATGAGAAAGCTCCCAGTCATTAGGAACAGCTGTTCTATGGACAACTGGTGACAACTTGGGGGCAACTCCTGAACCTGATCGTGGAGCCCGAATAGCAGCATTCAATTTTGTACTTGAGGTAGGGCTGGCTGAATTGAACTCGTCACGAACAGTTGCCCTGGGCATAAAACATAATAGAAACTCAATCAACTGCAGAATTCAAATCATAAACATGAAAAGATTTCGATCACTGATTACAAGGCTCCAAAGCACATGGAAATGGAACAAGAATATAAAAAAGCAACACACAAGAAAATGTAGCCAAGGAAAGATCTTTCTCCTCAAAGCGCAATATCATATAAATGAGAAATGGGAGCCACAGTTGTTGTGCTTACTTGTTAACAGCTCTGAAGTTCACCCTCTCCTTGTCTGAACTAGCAGGACGAACCCGCTTATCATTGACAAGGGAACTATTATCTTGGTCGTTTCTATGAATAGGGGCGCGTATACCCAACCCAGTCTGTTGAGAGACTCCATCTGATTTGCCAGCTGTAACAGTTCCATTAGAAATGCCCAGCCTGTACAAAAAAAACACATGAAAATATTATATCTATTTCCAAAATACTAACAAAACAACATATAAGAACTGGATGATAATAATGATAATAATAATAATAAATAAATAATAATAATAAAAATTAAAATAAATAAATAAAAACTTGTTAGATGATATCTTCCATCGGAGTTTAAAGCAAGGATCATAAAAATCAGAAAGAACCTACCAAAACACCCCACAATAGTATTCTTTCTTTGAAGTAAATCCTTTCACTATTTACTAACATGTTTTAATATCCACAAAAAAGTATTACACTGAAAAACATCGAGTCTAAAGATACCACTGATTACCCAACATATTCATACAACAATTAATTTACCTAAAAGTATTAGAATCGTTACTCAATTTCAACCGAGAATCAGTAGCAAGTCTTTGTTGCATTCCCTGTTTCGTTTCCTGGAAACCACTAACAGGTTTGTTCAAAGTAGTACTTGGAGAACCATCTAGCTTGATGCATGATCGCTTCTTCCTCATTTTTGACTTCTCCCAACCATCACCTACAACAGGTAAGTTTCGCTCTTCACTCTGAACCACACCATTATTGGCAATCCGTAGCTTTTCCTTATCTCTATCAACAGTCCCTAATGGCCTAACAAGAGAATTGGTCCGGACATCCATCTAGAATTTATCAAAACAACATCAGTTCTGCACACACCGTGTTAATCTGACAGCTGACTCAACATATAAAAGAAATAACAGAAGTCTAAGGCCACCACCAATGCACACCCATGTGTTATTAAAACAGAAAAACAAATCTACATTTCAACATTTTACCACTTCCAGGAAAGGAACAAGGCATAAACCAACTATCAAGGTAATGAAACACCTACATACAGCGATAGAATATAAATTGTATACAACAAATATACCATAATTTTTTATGTATCAAAAGATCTATATATGAAGTGATACATCGCCTAGTATACAAGTGGGGAAATGTTCTAGCACGTAACTTTTGAGAATACAGAATTTAACCAATGCCAATTCTCATATCAGTTGGAGATATGGAGAACAGATGATTCAAAATATACTAAGGTATATATAGTATACTATATACAAATGGAGTATTAATTCTAAAACAGTAAAAATTGAATAAACAACAATAAAAGGAGTTAAAAGAGATAATGAAATTGTGCAATGTTAACACTAGCAAAAATGCATGGGAAAAAGTCAGACATGTACCTTTACATCAACCATAGAAGTTCGAGTGCGCTTGTTCGGAACCAAACTTTTGGTTCTCTCTTCGGACTTTTGCTGCTCTAGTTCAAAAGCACCTGTGACGGTATGACCTTGAATGCCAACCTTACCCATGCTTGACCCCAGGGCTGAACGGTCATTCAACATGACACTAGAACGATCGTTGGAAAAGCTTTCAACTCGAGATCTCTTCTTCAAATTTACAGTTGGGAAAACTTCATTGAATACAGATAAGGCCTCATTGAACATTTTCCCACGTTCCCTGTTGAAATTCACAATTATGCAATTTATTTCTTAATTACACAAGTCTATATCTTAAATGCAAGTAAAAAAAACCTACAAAGAACTACCTCGCTTTCACAGTGCTTGAATACAGATTATCCCTCATACGCTTGATGTCTTCTGGTACTGGGGATGGCAGAAGCTTTCCTTTTGCAGAGCTAGACGGAGATTCATCAGGTGAAATTCCTAGAGCAGCATTAACGTGTCTCTTGTAATCCACATGACGATTAGATTTATGATCCAAGACCAACAACTTTGGATCAAAATGCACATAATTGAAGAAGCTCTCCACATCCCCATGCATTGCTGGAGAACTACTTCTCAACATGTTGGGTAGAGAAGACAAAATTGGATTTTCCATGCATTCTCGAAAGCTGCCCGACCTATCTAATGAAGCAGCTATATGAGATCCACGCTGCGTAGTATACAGAGGTCTATCTGGGCTACTAGAAGATGAATCAAACTTACTAGTTGTTGTCATTGCACTAGTTCCGGCACATCCTTTGAGTAAAAAATACAAACCATAGATTGGTGCACGACAAAATTGCAGAAAAGTAGCACATAAAGGGCAAGTCTAAATTTCAATAGAACAATTGGACAAAGTACCTGAAAAAGTCAAAATAGTCATAGAAAAGTCAAACTCAATTGACATGTATATATTTGTATATAAACTATTTCCAGAGATTAAAAGTCCACATACATGTATAAATCTGTAGAAGTAATTAACAGTATCAGCACCACTATTCTCATTCAAAGCTACTAAAAATGGATACGCTTAAAAAATTATGCAAAATCCTTAACTTCAATCAAATTGATAAATCTCGCTCAATATAGTATACCATCTCAAACTAAGAAAAATATACACAACAAAATTCCATTTTAATAGCATACACTTGAGACTGATGACAACAAGTCCAAGTAGAAGATGAACATTCTCATAAATGATACTAAGTTACTAACTATCTCAATTTCAATTGAATGAATTATATGTACTATACTAACATAAAGTTGGTACTTGGTATACAACATAGATCTATACCAAATGGAAAATATGAGTTCTAATCTATATTTGGTACATTTCATTATTTTAGAACTAAAATAGAACAAGACAGAGCATTGGGTGCAATCCATAAATAAAACATAATTGGACACGTGGATAAAAAAGTTTATACGTTTTGATTCAATTAAGAAGGTAGAATCAAGGAGAATAGAATAAATAAACTTGTACCAAATACATTATGAAGGGGGAAGAATCAGCCATAAAGTTTTTAAGATGTAATATACTTTTTACCTTAAGTCTTTATAGCATATATCTTCCTTCTGCGGCTCTTTTATAAATGTAGGTATCTTTTGAAGCTGCAAATTATTGAACAAGAAAAGTTAATGTCAATAGGCATACCCAAGATATAAATGGCAAAACGTAAACTACATAAACATGTAAGAACTTTTCCAATTCCATATTAATCAACGTTTTGCTCAGAAACAAGTCACGGTGCAGATTCATGCACATGCAAGTCAGATCAATTGTACATTACTAGGCATCATGATCATAGATCATATACAGAAATGTGATTTCACAGAATAAATATTCAATTGACATCAAAGAGAAGTCTATGCCATTCCGACATATGCTGTAAAGATTTGCTAGCAATATACCCAATGCAAACCAATTACAACATCCCTTTAGGCTGACAATACATCAAACACAAATCTTGTCCCATTAATTAAACCCCCACTAATCTCATTCACAGGAAAAATGGTCGATCAACCTTTTCAATAATCAGCTAGCTTTCAAACCCCGCAAAAAAAAGTTCAACTTCAAGTCAAACTTTCTGAGTGTGCCAAGCAGCAACTTTCAACCGCACACTATTGTTGAGAATTTATGTTTCCTGCACTCACAACAAGTCACACCCATCTTTGTTTGCTCTTTAAGTTTACTTCCTAAGTTCAATACATTATATACTACCACATTAAGCAATGACAACACATTAGAAAATACTACAGCACAATCTGAACTCGAAGAACTTACTTTAATTAAATTAATTTAATATAATATATCATATGATAGCTTGATAATAAACAAATATAATTTTAGTATAATAATATAGTATAATCGACAGTGGTTTTTCTGATAAAAAGAAATTGAAAGCAAGTATGAAAATTTACCAAAGAAAGCAGATAAATCTTCTATCCCTATATTGCTTCCATTACAGTTTACTCGAAAACATGATTTCAATTTTTTTGGTAAAAAAAAAATTGAGACTCATGAATAAGAAAATGAAACCCTAGGGGCTGAATCAACAGAAAAGGAAAAGAATGAGATAACGAACTACTTGAATAAGGAAATAACGAAAAGGAAAAAGCATTACAAATTGCCAAAAACAAAAACCCTAGAAAATCAAATTGAAAAAATAATCAGAGCGAAATTAAAAATTGAAGACCTTGAATGTTGCAATGATGAGAGGGTTTTATCGTCGATTGAGAAAATCGAAGAAGAACCGTTAGAAATTGAACGTTGTTGTTGAGTTGCTTAACGCAGAGTTACAGCTTCAAATTCGTACGAAGCAAAACCATGGACGACGAAGAGTACACGGTGTTTTGATCAATGATCGGCAAAATTGGTATATAATGATATTACTATTTTACCCCGTCTCTCTTATTTTTTGAAATTAAGAATGGTCGATTAGTTGAGGGCTTTTCTGTAATAATGTGGTTCGACACCGTATATCTGGCATTGTGTTATGTACATGTGCTTTGATTATCATCATGATTTTAATTTTTGGGTTTTTCAAGTTAAACCTCTTGATGTAAATACTTAATCTTAGGAGTACTATATTAGATTTAGATTTTTAAAAAACTTTGTTTAAGTTTATAATATTTAATTCGGAAGATATTTGTGGCTTACGTGTAAATATATTTATAATATTAAAAAAAAAATTGTGAATACGAAATGTCAAGGTTAGATGAAAAATTACAATGAGATGATTTTTATAACGGAAGATTCCTTCGAATTCTCTATCATATAATTATAAACATTTTAAGGATATTCTTCATACCCTTTGCGTCTCTTCTCTAGCGAGAATGTTAGCGCATTTGTTTGCTTTCATGTATATAAGTTTCATTCGAATATCTTTGATAATGCTCGTAATTTGTGGGATTCGTCTGATCAGATTTAAACTTGTCTCTTTCTCCACAGTGTTATTGGTTACAGATTCAAAAACCTTCTTGCTATCAACTTGCATTGTTAGTCTGATGTATTCTCTCTCTCTCTCTCTCTCTCTCTCTCTCTCTATATATATATATATATATATATATATATATATATATATATATATATATATATATATATATATATATATATATATATATATATATATATATATATATATATATATATATAGCAACTTTAAGGCCTATGAACACGCATTATAGTTCAGTTGTCTTACTGTTGCATTGTCATAGATTCATGGCATAACCTCCGAGTCATTTGCCTTGATGATCCCTAAACACTCCCTCGCAGCCTGCAAACTTCCTAGCTTTATTTATCCATTCGAATTGAGACATACCCAATCTAAGTCAGGTGGCTTCCATTTGATAGAAGTCTCGAAATTAGATTTTCTGCTAACTTTGTGTTTGCAGCCTTATGCTTATATCATACAACTTTAGCATGTTGTATCATTATATATGTAATTCTTTTACACATAAAAATGTTAAATATAATTCATTGTGTAAACAGATTTGATTTGATATGATTAGATATCATATGATTAGATTAGATTTGATATCATATGATTAGATTTGATATCATATGATTAATTTGATATGATATGATTAGATATCATATGATTAGATTTGATTTCATATGATTATATTTGATATCATATAATTAGATTTGATTTAGAATATTTTGGGTCTTTTATGTTTTGGGCTAGTGTAAACCTAAAACTATAAACAGGGTGTCTTACTTTATATTCTACATCACAACATAACAGATTTCACAGTTGCAGTTAGCAAGTGAAAGTTCAATAAGAAATCTCACAGTTGTGGGTAACACATTCTCTCCAAATACTTCTTCTCTCATTCTTCTCTTTCTTGTTTGTTATTCTTCTTCTCTTTTGTTGTTCTTGATAATTACTTGTTATTACCATCATTATCATATTGTGGGTTTGTTCATCAATCTTGAGATCAAGATTGAAGGGAATTCTTCATAGGGTGTGAGGTGAATTTCCAACATCTGGTATCTAAAGCTCCGGTTGATAGATTCAAGGAAGGAAGATAGTGATGGCGATGAACTATTCGAACGACAACTTTCCGACGACCCTGCCAATTCTCAAGAAAGACAATTATGAGAATTGGTGCAAGCAGGTTAAAGTGATTTTCTGTTATCAAGATCTTTGGGATCTTGTGAAGGACGGAGTGACACTGCTTGTGGAGAATGCAACGGAGGCGAAAAAGGCTGCGCATAAAGAATTGAAGAAGAAGGATTATAAAGCACTCTTTATAATTCATCAGTGTGTTGATCCTGATAACTTTGAAAAGGTTAGTGATGTTGATTCAGTAAAAGAAGCATGGGAGATTCTTGAAAAGTCGTTTGGAGGTGCAGAGAAGGTGAAAGAGGTGAGGTTACAAACTCACAAGAGAACCTATGAGTTGCTTCAGATGGAAGACAACGAAAGCATTACAGATTTCTTCACCAGAGTTACAAAGTTGGTGAATCAAATCAAAGTATGTGGAGAAACGCTGACGACGAAAGCAGTTGTCTCAAAGATTTTGAGATCGTTGGCTCCAAAATTCGACCACGTGGTAGTTGTCATAGAAGAGTCGAAAGATCTGTCAGTGTTGACGAAGGAAGAGCTTCAAGGGACTCTTGAGTCTCATGAACAGAGGATGGCTGAGAGAGCTGCAGGAAAGTCGAAAGATATGGCTTTGCAGACACAGACGGAAAAGGAGAGAAAAGAAAAAGGTAGTTGGAATGGCAACAAAGGAGGAAACCAGTCGAATCAAAAGAAACCTTGGAACCAAGGCAACCAAAGAGGTGGTGTTGCAGGTAAAGGAAGAGGTGGTGATCGAAAGACAGACAAAAGCCACATTCAATGTTTCAATTGCCAGAAGTATGGTCATTATGTTAGTGATTGTCCAGAAAAAAAGAGAAATCAAGAGGCTGATGCAAAGCTGGCGAAACATGAAGAAGAAGAAACGTTGCTAATGGTCACAACAAACGATGAAGAAAGATTCCAAGATCAGTGGTACTTGGACTCAGGATGCTCATCACACATGACTGGAAGAAAAGATTGGTTTGTCAACATGAAGCCCTCGTCGAAGAATACGGTAAAGTTTGCAAATGACAACACTCTAGCAGCTGAAGGTGTTGGTGATGTTCTGATTATGAGGAAAGATGGCAAAAGGTCAACAATTTCCAATGTGTTGTACATACCAGGCATGAAGAGTAATTTGCTCAGTATAGGGCAGCTTGTCGAAAAG